GGCCATGACCTGTCTCATGCTTGGGACCTTTCTCTTGTCCTGCCCAAAGGCATTTCTGCTCTTGTCCTCTTTCCAATGTACAACCCGCCCCATCCCTCCTTTAGAGACCTTAATAGAGGAAGAGCTGCTGGAAGTGGCTTGTTCCCTATGATAGACAACCTGGGCAAGTGGCAAGGGAGAAGACTCCTCTTCCCTACCCCAACCCCCAACATACACTTTTCTGGCTTCAGTTTCTAGTCCTGGCAGCAGACGAGCCACAGCTGTCAAGGGGACTCCTCGTGCCCGTGGCACCCTGGGTGACCTCGGGACAACGGATCAGCTTGACAAGAACTCCCCGTGAGGGGCTAATCAACCATGGTTACATGGAGTTCCCTGTCCTAGGTAGGGACACTATTCCACTTTAAAAGCCTGAAAGCTTTTTTTACTTCACAGTACCCCTGCCAGCTCTCAGTGGACTGGCTGTGGTTAGCTAAGCTATTAATAGCTGTGAGGATTTTGAGATCCCTACCTTTAAGAGATGGAGGAAATTCTTAGAGAGGTGGCAGTAAGCAGAGCCAGAAGCTAGAACACATCCAGTATGGGCAGGGGTTCAGAGGCTGGGGGCTCGGAGCTTGTTCCAGGCCAGGGACAGGGTGGAGTTGACAGGAGTGGGGTAATCATGACCACCAGCTTCTGAGCTGGCAGTCAGGTGAAGGTGGCCCCACCCTTCACTGTGGGAGAACATAGCTTCTTGACCTCTGCAGCTCCCCTGGGACAGAGCCAGCCACCTGAGCTGTGACTAGTGTCCCTGTAGAGGGGTGGTGTGGGAGGGCCACTCGGTGACACTTGGAGGCAGAGACTGGTCCAGGGCAGCCGCACTGAGCCGAGCAGAAGCCTTGTCTGAGGAACCTGTTGCCCCGACTTGTGTACAGGTAGCAGAGGCAGCAGGCCGTGCCGGGGGGGCATGTTCCTGTAACCTGTGACCCAGGGGATGTTACGGTGGACAGTGCATCTGGAGGGCGGGCCACGCAGGGTGAACCATGCGGCAGTGGCTGTTGGGCACCGAGTGTACTCCTTCGGGGGTTACTGCTCTGGTGAAGACTACGAGACACTCCGTCAGATAGATGTGCACATTTTCAATGCTGGTAAGCCAGTTCTGGTACCTTTGTTGGGTTTCTACATCAGGGGAGGTAGTGGGCAGCTGAATAGTTTGGTGGTGGTCTCTGTGTAGGTGGGGGGTTGAATAAGAATGTTTGGTTTGTGGGCCGGGAGGTAGTGGCACACGCCTTTAATCTCAGCACTCAGGAGGCAGAGGCAGGTGGATCTCTGAGTTTGAGGCCAGCCTGGTCTACAAGAGCTTGTTCTAGGACAGGCTCCAAAGCTACAGAGAAACCCTGTCTTGAAACAACAACAACAACAAAATGCTTGGTTTGGGATAAAGTGGCAGCCTGGAGGGAGGTTCCCAAGGGCTGAGCAGAACTGTGCCTACAGTGTCCTTGCGTTGGACAAAACTGCCCCCAGTGAGGCCTGCCGTCCGAGGGCAGGCTCCTGTTGTGCCCTATATGCGGTATGGACACTCGACCGTCCTCATCGATGACACCGTCTTCCTTTGGGGTGGGCGCAATGACACTGAAGGGGCCTGCAACGTGCTCTATGCCTTTGATGTCAGTGAGTATGGGTCTCACATGATGCATGCCTTGGGGCTGGGGGAGTATTGGAGAAGGGAAGGCCAGAATTAAGGTGGGTATGTCACTTGACCTTACTTACTTTTACTTCTTTTAAAAGATACTCACAAGTGGTCTACACCCCGAGTGTCAGGAACAGTTCCTGGGGCCCGGGATGGACATTCAGCCTGTGTCTTGGGCAAGATCATGTACATTTTTGGGGGATATGAGCAGCTGGTAAGTCTGGGAAAAACCACTGTTTTATACCAAAAAGAAGAGAGGAAAATTTAGCATGGTGGAATAGGCGGCTTTGAGAGGAAGGGTAGAGGGTCAAGGAGTTAACCATTGACACGCCTGTTTCCCTCCTTTCTCTCGTCACTCAGGCAGACTGCTTTTCCAATGACATTCACAAGCTGGACACCAGCACCATGACATGGACCCTTGTGTGCACAAAGGTCTGCCCTTTGTTCTGTCAGATTCTAGGAAGTTAAATTAGCTTTTCCTCTGTGAACCCATGTTGACCCTCTTCCCCATCTCTCTGCTCTTGGCTAGGGTAACCCTGCACGCTGGAGGGACTTCCATTCAGCCACAATGCTGGGCAATCATATGTATGTCTTTGGGGGCCGTGCTGACCGCTTTGGGCCATTTCATTCCAACAATGAGATTTACTGCAACCGAATTCGAGTCTTTGACACCAGAACCGAGGCCTGGCTTGACTGTCCACATACTCCGGTGCTGCCTGAGGGGCGCAGGAGCCATTCAGCCTGTGAGTGTCTGTTATTTTCTTGTGGACCCCCTGTGCCACCCCATTCCCTCTTGACATGTCTTTTGCCCTTCCAGTTGGCTACAACGGGGAGCTGTACATCTTTGGTGGCTATAATGCAAGGCTGAACCGGCACTTCCATGATCTCTGGAAGTTTAACCCTGGTAAAAAGCATTACCCTTAGGGGAGGGACAAGGAACAGTTGAGGTGGGAGGGAAAAATAACCCTGGGTGAGGGACTGGGTTGGGCTGTGTGTGGTGTCTAGGTTGGCTAGATATTGACCCTCTGTGAACTTCTCTTTAGGGTCCTTTACCTGGAAGAAGATTGAACCAAAGGGGAAAGGACCATGTCCCCGCCGGCGCCAGTGTTGCTGTATTGTTGGTGATAAGATTGTCCTCTTTGGGGGTACCAGGTTAGGAGAGAGGGGAGTACTCAGGAGCGGGCCTACGTCTGTAACAGAAGAGAGGGAGGCATCTGAGTAAGGGGTCTTGTGGGTACCACCTCCTTCTTCCTCTTCCTGTCTCTACAGCCCCTCTCCCGAGGAAGGCCTGGGAGATGAATTTGACCTCATAGATCATTCTGACTTACACATCTTGGACTTTAGTAAGTACTTTTTTCTGAAGTGCTCCTATTCTCAGCTTCTCTCTCTGGGTAGTGACCAGGGTAGGACCTTTCCTCTGCTCTGACTGTCTTTCCACGCTTCCATTAAAGGCCCTAGTCTGAAGACTCTGTGCAAACTGGCCGTGATTCAGTATAATCTGGACCAGTCCTGTTTGCCCCATGATATCAGGTACAGCAAGTGGTTGCAGAGGAGGGGTTGGTTGAGGGTGCAGGGCCAGCACAGGTGTCTCAGTATGCAGAAGACAGACATTTCTGTTTGCTGGAGAGGAAGTTTTTGTGAGAACAAGGGCATAAAGGTGCAGCCATCATGTGACAGCTGTCAGCTGTATGAAGAAAACCTTTGAGTTTTTGGAGCCAAGCTTTGCTTCCTTGTGCAGTTTGTTTGTTTTGGTGCTTTACTGAGAGTGGTTGGATATATCTCAGGGTTGACTGCCAAGTAGAAATTTGAAGAGTTGTGGACCCCACCCCCACCCCAGTTCCAAAATTGAGAGAGGTCCTGGGTTCTTGCCTCTGAATTCCAGTATTGAGTTCTAATCAAACCCCTAATGTCACTCATGAATCACTTACTCTTGGTTATTTTGAAACGGTCCCTACTCGAGCCGAGCTTATCCGTTGACCTGATGAGTCCCAGGCTGACTCTAGTTGACACAGGTGCAGGTGCCTTCCCGCTGAGCACCTGGCTGAGTGTCTCAGAGTGGGGAGTGTTTCCTGAGTCTTTGTGGAGTGGAAGAGCTGCTCGAAGCATACTTTTAATTTGCTGGGATGGATGGGAAAGGTCTTAGGCCCTAAAGTTTAGGGAGAACATGAGGGAATCACAACCTTAAGCCAATGGAAATAGACAGCAAGAAGGGTGCTCCTGTGGGATGAGGAGGAAGGGCTGCTGGGCTGGGTCTGTGAAGAGCAGGAGAGATACGCTAGGATGTTTACTGAGATGGGTACACATAATCCAGGTGCTTGGACTCAGGAATCTGTATAAACATAAACAGGATATCCGCAAGAGCTTGGAGGTGGATGAGTAGGTGGTGTTGGATTTAGGGGTGGGTGGGGTCTGGTGGTCAAACCCAAAAGGGCTGTAAGGAAGAGGTAGCTGTGGGAAATTGGAGGGGCTGCTGTGTTCATGGCTTTGTCCGAAGAATTCTGGGCTTGCCATAGAGACAACCTCTTGTGTCTTCTCTGCCCATCTTTGGCCTTCCAGGTGGGAGCTCAATGCCATGACCACCAACAGCAATATCAGCCGTCCCATTGTCTCCTCCCATGGATAGGAAGAAGGTTCTGCTGCCTCCCCTCCTGAGCCTGCTCTTGTCTCATTGCCCCTGCCCGTCTCACCTGCCTGCCCCTTTGGACCCTGGACTCAGTATACCTCCACGTGGAGTTGATGGACTAGAGGTGTTTTCTGTGCTGTGAATTCAGTGGGGAGTTGTTGGGGGGAGGGCCATTCTCCTCCCTTGGGCCGAGGGCCCCTTCCCTTGGTGCTCTGTTCCCATTCACCTCCCTTCCACTGCTCCTGGACCTTCGCTCTGACCCAGGCCAGCTGGGTAGCCAGGCTGTGCTGGAAAGGGACAGGAGTGGGGAGAAGCCAGCAGTGTCGGAGCCTCAGGAGCTTCCCTCTCCCCGTGACCATCCCTCTCCCTGCTTGAGCATCCGCCCGGGAGCTGAGAGGAGCCTCAGCTGTTGGCATGAAACCCTCCCTTCCCCGGCCCTCGGGGGTGGGGACCAACAGACAGCTTCACCCATCCTCTAGCTGTTGTACCCCCGAAGATCAGCCAGCTCTGGTTTTATAAAACGCAAAGCCTCTAAACGTGTCGTGTTTCTTTGGACTAAGATGGAATTGGTAGAGGGGCCACTTCAGGTTCTGGCTTTACAGCCTCGCATTTAAAGAAACCCAAAGGCACCAAGTGCCTAATCCACCCGAGAACCGAGGTCTGACGTCTGCAGAGCAGCGCTTCTGCCAGAGTCCTTACCACATTGGCTCAGGCTTCCGGAAGGGGTGGGGCTTGGAATAGCTGCAATGAACGGAAGTGGTGTCTTCTACGGACTACGCGAAACAGCCAAAAGCTGGCGCTAGGGCTAGGGTCCAAGGTTCCCACGGAGCCATGCAGAGCGGGAGCATGGCAGACGACCAGCAGAAGGGTGAGGGCCTGGGGTTGGCGGGAGCGCACCGCGTTCGGCTGCGGGAACGGAAAGCCACAGAGCGCCGCAGTAGGCGGGTGAGAGGGAGTGCTTCCGGCATTACGACTTCCAGGGAAGTTTCTTGGTTTTTTTCTTTAGAGCGTGGTGGTAAAGGGATACATGGAGGATGTCTTAAGGTGTAGTCCTGGTCAAGTTCGAACTTTTGGCAGTCCTGTCTTCTCAGCCTTCCATATGCTAGGATTCTAGGCATAAGCCTCCAGGCCTGGCCTGGGTAGCTTCGTAACAGTAGGATGAGGGCTCTTCCCAGAAGGCTGAGTAGAGCGGGATGTAACAAATCGAGCCTTCATTGCACTGTATGCAGGCACTTGGAGATAAAGAATAATCAAACAGCAATGCAAAAAGTTCGTTCTTATGCCACTTTCCTGTAAGAAAAGGTATTTAGAGCCGGGCGGTGGTAGCAAACACCTTTAATCCCAGCACTTGGGAGACAGAGACAGGCGGATCACTGTGAGTTCGAGCCCATTCTGATCTACACAGTGAGTTCCAGGACAACCAAGGTGGTTGCACAGAAAAACCCTGTCTCAAAACAAACAACACTGGCATTTAGGCAGGCGGGTTAGCGCACTGCAGCTCTGCTTCCAGCACTCCCGAGGCAGAGGCCACCAGGTTCGTTGCACCAAAATGGCCTGGTCTCTGTTGAGTTTCGGGCTAGCTGAGCAAAATACAAGTCACTGGAGAGCTTTTGAGTCCAGGGTGACATAATTACTGTGCGGAGTGATACAATCAGATTTCTTTTTAGTGTGCAAAAGAAATGGGCAGTGGTGGCCCCGCACTCGAGAGCCAGAGGCAGGAGGATCTCGAAGCTAATCTGGTCTACAAGAGCTAGTACAGGCACCAAAGCTACAGAGAAACCCTGTCTTGAAAAACCAAAAAGAAAAAAAAAAAAAAGAAAGAAAAGAAATGGGCTGTGGATTGATTTACCTCTGTCTCTACAACAAGATATATCAAGTAGCCAACATTATTGGAGAGTTGAATGTCAGTGTAGCTGTCAGTAAGACGGCTGCTGTGATAGAGAAGGTTGGAAAGGATGGGGTAGAATGAGTCTTTGCTGTCTGGGCTTGCGTGTGCATGTGTGTGTGTGTGTGTGTGTGTGTGTGTGTGTGTGTGCCCGCGCGTGCCCGCTTATGTGCTACAGTGAGGGTGTAGAGGTCAGAGGACCACCTTAGTCATTCTGTTATCCGCCTGACCATGGTGACTCCAGGCTCTAACTCCAGTTGTCAGGCTTGGCAGGATGTCCCTTCATCTGCTGAACCGACTCTTGGCTGATGAAGTCTTTGCTGCTGTTGAGAGGGACTGCTGTGAGTTGTGTCCTTCCCTTCCCTCAGACACGTCTGACATGTCCTTTGAGGAGCTGTTGGAGTTGCAGAGCCGAGGGGGACCCAGGGCATGCAAACAGTTGGCTGGAAGAAGCGCTCCTAAGCAAAGCCCCAGACAACCTGTGTGTGTTGCCGATAAGCACCGGTGAGGAGCGTGCCCTCAGAGTCAAGATACTCAGGACCTTGACTGCAAGTCTTTTCCTGGGTGGGAAGACGCCGGTCTTTGACCAGGATTGCAGTGAACTTACCCTGACCTTTCATTGCTCCTTAGGCCTCTGGAAATGTCAGCCAAAGTCCGAGTGCCATTCTTACGCCAGGTTGTTCCTATCAGTAAAAAGGTGAGGAAAGGGCAGGGAGCGAGCACTTCCTTAGAGAAAGGAGACTGAACAAGCTGTTTATTCCCAAAGGTAGCCCGGGACCCCCGCTTTGATGATCTGTCAGGGGAATATAACCCCGAGATATTTGACAAGACTTACCAATTCCTGAACGATATCCGAGCCAAGGAGAAAGTGGTATGTAATATGAAGCTGGTTTATCCATCCACTCCTGGGTGGGGGCGGGGGCTGGAGCACATGTTGGACAGTCAGGAATGAGAATGAAAGCATGTTGGTAGGCAGATCTTTTTGCTCTTAGTTGGTCCATCAGTTTTGTGACCGTGTGATCAAGTTGCTCAGCCCCCTTTGCTGCGGTTCTTTTTAAATGAATATATTTTTAAGTTGATTCATAGTATTTAGTAACATTTGTGGGGTAGGAGAGCATTTCAGTCCGTGTATTTCGTGTTTTAATGATCAAGTTAATTGCTCTAGGTATCACTTCTCGCATAGAATCATCTCTGTTGGGAACAGTCAAAATCCCTTGTTGGCTATCCTCAGTTAAGCTGGGCTTAGCAGCACACATCTCTAATCCCTGCTACTTTGGGCTGTGAGGCAGGAAGCAGGAAGAATTTGGGCTACCTTGGGCCATGAGACCTTATCTCTCTATCCTCCAGAAAAAGAAGAGTGAACAGAACCGTAGATTGAGTTACTTGTCAGCCTTAGTTATCTGGTATACTGCCAAACCCTGGAAATCGTCCTCCTTGTCCAGCTGCAGCCCTGTGCTGGACGACTGAGTCTCTGCCTGTCCCCCTTCCCCACACCCTCCACAGGCTCTCAGCCGCTGTTCTGTACTTTCTTGAAATTGACTATGACATCTGCATATAAGAACATGAGACTGCGGGTCAGTGATGGCGCGCACCTTTAATCCCAGCACTCAGGAGGCAGAGGCAGGTGGATTTCTGTGAGTTTGAGGCCTCTGTTCTTCGGAGTGAGTTCCAGGACAGCCAGGACTACAGAGAAACCCTGTCTCCAAAACTCAAAGTGGGTGTGTGGGGGACTATATATGACTTTAATCCAGCACTCAGGAGGCAGAGTTCGAGACCAGCCTGGTCAACAAAGCAAGTTTCCAGGACAGCCAGGGCTACACAGAGAGATCCTGTCTCAAAAAACAAAAGAAAAGAATATATCAGTGTCTTTCTGTTCCTAACTGACTACATGTAACATAATGTTGCTTCAGTATTTTTTTATTTAGTGTGCGTAGGTCTGCACGTGTCCCCCTTTGAATGCGGAGGACAGGGGGTAACTTGGCAATTTCCCCTCTCCTTCCACTCTGGGCTCCAGGGGTCCAACTCAGACTTCAGGCTTGTGTGGTGGGCACCTTAACTCACTGAAGCCTCCTATCAGCTTTGCTTTACTTTGTTCCCACCCTCCCTTCCTCTCCCCTTATCCCTCCCTCCCTCTCCCCTCATCCCTCCTTTCCTCTCCCCTCATCCCTCCCTTTCCCCATCCATCTCCCTTCCCCCCCCTTCCTTCCTTCCTTTGTTTTTTTGAGACAGGGTTTCTCTGTGGCTCTAGCCCTCCTGGAATTTACTACTTAGACCAGGCTGGCCTTGAACTCGCAGATGCTCTGCCTCTGCCTCTCAGGCTCTGGGATCAAAGGTGTGAGCCGCCACACCTGGCTGCTTTAGTCTTCTAGCCACAAAAAGGATAAAAAGGCATGAAATTATGGCTCAGTGGCTAAAAGTATAATTATTTTATAAAGAAAGAGAGAGAAAGAAAGGGCCAGGGGCTGGGAGCTATAGCCCAGTGCTACAATAGAGATTTAATGCTGTGCTGGATCCTCAGACACCAACACCACACACATTGTTCATTGATTTTGTGTTAATTTGAGTGAACTTGCTATAATAAAGCTTGGCACAGAATGTTAACTATGTTCACTTTCCTCGTGGAGCTTGTGAAAAAGCAGTTGAAGAAGCGCCGATCAGGGGAGGAGCGTGAGAAGCTGCAGCAGCTGCTTCGGCGAATGGTGAGGATGCTAGTTGCAGGTGGGTGGTGGGAGCAGTCAAAGGCAGGTGTGATTCAGAGTCCCTCCTGTTCACACCTCCATCCTGCCTCACCTCGGATCCTCAGGAACAGCAAGAGATGGCACAGCAGGAGCGAAAGCAGCAGCAGGAGCAGCGCCTGGCCTTGAAGCAGGAGCGGCGGGCTCTGGCACAGCAGGGCCATCGGCCATACTTCCTGAAGAAATGTGAGTGGGGCCACGCTCTTGAAAGCCTACGAGTGGGCCGGTTTGTGTGGCTGTCGTCCCGGGGTTCACTGGGGGAAGTGAGAACAGTGGGGAAGTGGTACTTGGGGTCCGTCCTGTATTTGCACTCAAATGATGTTTGTGGGCGGATTGGAGGGTAGTTTAGGTAGTAGAGTGCTCGCCTGCATTTATTAAGCCCTAGGTTTGATCTCTACTACATCAAACAGGAATAGTGGATATGCTTGCAGACTCAGCGCTTGGGAGGATGGGAAGATAAAGGTTGTCCTTGGATATGTAGAAGTTTGAGGCTGGTCTGGACTAGAGCCCCTGTCCCCCCACAAAAAACAGTGGGGCAGTGGTGGCACACGCTTTTAATCCCAACACTAAGGCGGCAGAGGCAGGTGGATCTCTGTGAGTTCAAGCCTGGCCTGGTCTACAGATTGAGTTCCAGGACAGGCTCCAAAGCTACAGAGAAACCCTGTCTTGAAAACAAAACATAAACAAAAAAACAAAGCTGGAGATTGTCACTTTTATCTCCTATCACTGCGTCTCCACTGTTTGCCCATCTTGGTTCCGATGAGTACGACTTGAGTCATAAAGCATAAGCTCAGAGGCCAGGTTCAGCAGCGCACACCTTCAGTCCCTGCACCTGGGAGGAAGGAGTACTCAACAGCTCTTAAGAGTTCAAGGCCGGGGGAGCTGGAGAGATGGCTCAGTGGTTAAGAGCATTGCCTGCTCTTCCAAAGGTCCTGAGTTCAATTCCCAGCAACCACATGGTGGCTCACAACCATCTGTAATGGGGTCTGGTGCCCTCTTCTGGCCTGCAGGCAAACACACAGACAGAATACTTTAATCCCAGCACTAGGGAGGCAGAGGCAGGCGGATTTCTGTGAGTTTGAGGCCAGCCTGGTCTACAAAGCGAGTTCCAGGACAGCCAGGACTGTTGAACAGAGAAACCGTGTCTCTAAAAACAAAACAACAAAAACACCAGCCTGGTTTACGTGGTGAGTTCCAGGTCAGGAACAGGCTACAAAGTAAGACTCTGGATGGATGGATGGATGGATGGATGGATGGATGGATAGATAGATAGATAGATAGATAGATAGATAGATAGATAGATAAGTTACTTTAGGCAGGAATATTTGATAGCTCAGGGGTAATGCGACTTGCCTAGTATGAGAAATGCCCTGGATTAATTTCCTAACTAAAGGAAAAGCTTGCTTGGTGCCTGGGGCTCATTAGTAGAGGCAAGGCCTCTGCTATCAGCATCCATGACGCTGTTTGATCACACACAACACAGTTTTTGTGTCTCTCGTACACCATGGCTCTTAACAACACGGCCCAGCATAAGGGGTCCCGCATGTGGGACTAGGAAATAAGGTCTTCCTCCTTTGCTCAGCAGCTTGCTTTCTTTTTATCTAGCTGAGCAGCGCCAGTTGGCCCTAGCTGAGAAGTTCAAGGAGCTGAAACGCAGCAAGAAGCTGGAGAGTTTCCTGAGCCGAAAGAGGCGTCGAAACGCGGGCAAGGACAGGAAGCATCTCCCTTTGAGCAATTAGTACTAAGGAACTGTCCCAGGGAGACCTGGGTCTATGGGACAAGGCTGGGGTTGGCCAGTTCTGGTTCCTCCCTGGTGAAAGGCAAGCATCATACTCCCCCTGAACTGGGCTGCCTCAGAGGACTGGCGTGCTGTGCCCCTGGGTGTGCTAGGGCTGTCCAGCCACAGAAGCCCAGCCTTCCGTCATGTCACAGTGCCTTCTCAGATTCGTTCATCACGGTCTCATGTTCTCCTTCCATTCTTTCCTTATGACATGGGTACCTTCATGGCTCCAGGGAAGGGACTTCACAGAAGAGCCACTTTGACAACATGCTTGTTACTCATTGTTTTATTGTTGTTATTTTTAATTGTGTGAATGTTTCTGTGTGTAGGGGTATGTGCACTGAATGCAGGGACCTTTGAAGGGCACAGCTTTTACTTCCCCCTAGAACTGGAGTTAGAGATGGTTGTAAGCTGCCCAGTGTGGATGCTAGGTACCAAATGAGCCCTTTGCAAGAACAAACCACACTTGATCACTGAGCCATCGCTGTAGTCCCCCACTTCTACTTACTTATCCATTCTTATTTTGTTTTGTTTTTTCTTGTATGTATGTGTGACGGTGTTGGATTCTGGAGTTATAGACAGTTCTGAGCTATATGGTTGCCAGGAATTAAACCTGGGTCCTCTGGAAGAGCAATCAGTGCTCTTAACCACCAAGCTATCTCTCCAGCCACCCCGTTGTTGTTGGTTTGAGACAGGATTTCTCTATGTAACAGCCCTGGCCATGCTGGAATTTACTTCATTGACCAGGCTGGCTTCAAAATCAGAGATCTGCCTGCCTCTGCCTCCCAAGTGCAGGGATTAAAGATTGCCTGCACCACCACCTGGCCCCATTTTGTTTTTAGTTGGAGACCTGGAACTTACTGTTTTGGTGAGCTGTCTGTGGTCCACAGTGCAACAGATCAGATCAGGGCCCTCTCCATCTTAAATCTAGGCCCTGAGAAGATGTCTTAAGTGTCACTTGACCTTCGGTAGAGTGGGATGTGGGAGGTAGTGAGTCCACGTTTTTCAGCATCTACCTGAGAAGGGACTTCAGTGTTTTTGCTCCCTTGCCCCTGGGCCTGTTACCTAGTGAGGCAGAGCATTTGCAAATGCAGTGTGTCTTACTTCCTGGTAGGATTGTGGGTACGTGCCATCACACCCATCCAGGACATTAAAAAGGAAGTCACTATGCTTGTATGTGTTTGTCTTGGTTTAATTTTTACTGCTGTGTTAAAGCACCACAACCAAAAGAATTTGGGGAGGAAAGGGTTTATTTCATTAACAGCTTGTTAGGGATGTCAGGAGAAAAACTCAAGGCTGTGGAGGAACTCTGCTTACAGGCCAGGCCTCCTCTACATGGCTGCTTCAGTCTGCTTGCTTTTTTTCTTTTTCTCTGTGTGGTCCTGGCTGTCCTAGAACTTGCTTTGTAGACCAGGCTGGTCTCAGCTCAGAGATCTATCTGCCTCTGCCTTGCCAGGGCTGGGATCAAAGGAGTGCACTGCCATACCTGGCCTCAGCCTACTTTCTTATACCACCTGATGATGTGGGAGTGTCATATATCAATCTGTTGATTTCATTGGTTAAGTTATAATAAACCAACTGCTTGGCCTCAGCTTAGAAC